AAATCACTTCAATCACCTTTTCTCCTTTCTCCCCATCTATACCTGCCAGTCCATTTGCCCCCTGTGAACCCTGAAGAAAGATTTGCAGCAATTTTAACTTGATGTTCTTCATGTCACAAAGCTTTTCATCAAGTATGGTAGGGAGAATTATCACTTACTGCAATACCTGGGGGACCGTTTGGCCCAGGGTCCCCTGGGGGTCCTTTACTTCCACGGGGTCCTGGTTTTCCAATGACACCACTGAACCCCTGAAGTCCTGGAGGACCCTATATTAGACAATCAGTCAGAACAAATAAGTGTTTAAAAATGATCAGCCAAATAGAGATATAATGTAAATGAAAGGGCTGATTTTGTGCTCACACATGGTCCATCTGTTCCCCGATGCCCGGGATCTCCTTGACGGCCCTGCAGAGATGTAACCCATTGTTTTCAATTGAAGGAAAAAAATTAAGCACTTTATATTTCAGCACTGCTTTATGGTAAATCCAACTCCACTGAACTAGTAAGGTCAGGATCTTATATTTTCTTGGAGAAGTGGTACTGTATATACCTGGGGTCCTGGTTGTCCCTTTTCTCCTACTGGACCAAGGGGACCCTAAATAAAGTTTGGGAATATTAGTCATCAAAACATGCAAATGACAGTGCTACAGCAGTGGAAACCAAACTACATTTATCCACTGAATTGAAAAAATCACCAAAATTTTAAATAAGAAATTATCTCAGTGTTTATACTTGATCCCTCACACACTTACTGGTGGTCCAGGCTTCCCAGTTGGTCCAGGAGGCCCTCTTAGACCTGGCTCTCCCTATAAGAAAACAAATGTCCTCTTTTACCTAAAGTTACTATTATAAAGGCTAAAACATTATGGCTCTGCTCTAAACCCAAGTGAGCTGTCTAGATTTTTAGTCATCATCCTAATAGGAAGGTTGTTCCAACCTTGTAATGGATAAGGGAATCCATGAATGCACAGTCATTTATGACGTTCCATTTTGCTTAGGATGTTGCCTTAAAAGATTGCAATGCAGCTCACAAAGGATTAGAATTGAGGCTTTATCTGTAGATGAGCTTTGACGTTATAACTGTACAAATGTACAACAGCATAATTGAATAAAGATATATTGCTGTTAATGTGAGATAGTTAAAGTGTAATTTGTCTTTACTCTGTCTCCACTGTGGCCCGGTCTTCCTCTCATACCCACGTTTCCTGGAAAACCCTTAAGAGAAT